AGGTTTAGATTGGACGTGAGGAAAAATTTCTTTACTGAAAGAGTGGTTAAACATTGGCACAGGCTGCCCAGGGAAGTGGTGTAGTCACCATCCCTGGAAGTATTTAAAACGCGTGTAGATGTGGCACTTAGGGACATGGTTTAGTGGGCATGGTGGTGTTGTGGACAGTTGGACTCGATGATCTTAGAGGTCTTTTCCAACCTTAATGATTCTATTTGTTGGGGCATTGGGAGGTATATAGTTTTCTTGTAATATTTACAAGCATTGGATATGGATGTGGTACCTCTGCCAAGCTTCTAAGTTTAAAGACAAGTTGGCAAAAAGACCAAAGGAATAAAAAGAAAAAAAACCCCAAACACCAGAACAAGCCACCTTACAACATCAACAAGATAAAACCAAAGAACAATACTAGGCACAAGAACATGTCTCTGACGTTAATTTGCAAGAGGTACTCTATTTGAATCCATTTGGATGAATAGGGTTTGCAGAACCCATTGCATGTCGGAGCCGTATGGAACTAGAGAACCAAGCTCATCGCAGATAGTGCAAAACCTTAGACTTCCTGATCTCAAGCACAGTGCTTCACAAAACAGCGAAGTATCACATGCTCAGATGAGAACCAGGAGTCTGACCAAGTCCTCCCAAACCTTCTGAATTGTGCATTACATCAGCCTTTTCTGATGATTCATCTGAATTCCAGGATTCAACACCAAAGTTGACAGATAACTTCTCTATTTACCTTTTTCTTTGGAAATACATGAAACAGAAGGCTCAGGGAAATACCATGTAAAAGTTTCCCCATTACAAAAAATAATTTGTAGTTTTGAACATATTTCAAATCTGTAGCTTAACTTATTACCTATTAAAACAGTTCTGCTCAAAAGATCTTTTGTGAAATACTTCAATCATAATTTTGCTTATTTTTACACAAGTTCTTTTTCAAATGCTTATACACCAACACTCAGTCTGTCATATACTCAAAGGATAGAAGAGCTATAAAATATTTTTCTTACTCTTATTAAACTGTATTGAGAGCGCTGCTGGGGATACTGCTGTACACAAGGTGATTGCACACCAGTTTTTAACATCTTCCTGAAAATGGAACCTGTGGAGAGTATTATCTCTGCCATGTTTTAATAATCACAGATGAAGTAGCCAGGACTGCTTAGGGTCTTGGGGTTTTTGTTCTTTTCTTTGGCTCTTGCACACCTAGCATTTGCCAGTATCTTCTTGCAAATACTTAGATGCCTTCCCAGTGCAAGTAAAAAACTCCCAATAATTTGTAGGTAAAATAAGCAATTGAAGTTTATAGTTTAAAATTATATTACTCCAACATAAAGATGGTGAAGTATGTGAAACCTGGATTATTGCAGTTCACATTCAGACACGGCATTATTTGGGAGCATTTTCATGTTATAGCACAAATTTTGGCCAGACAAAGGCATAATCACTCTAGAGAACCACAAGGCATCTTTAAAAGTCTGTGCTCAGAAGCTCCATTTAATGCATAGGGGTTTTCCACATGCTCTTGAGGAGAAATTTCTAGAAAATTCTTTGAAAGGTTTTAAATTTTCCACATTCTCATATTTTAAGAAATTTTAATCAAAGTTACTACAACTGATATCTAATAAAGTACACTCTCAAGGTACACGAAAGTAAAGTCAATCTGTTAGGCATAGAAAGGACGGTCTATGTTCTCACTTTTAAATTTTTGAATATGTAAAGATGTTTAAAAAAAAATCCACCAGCAGCAAAATAAAATAAGTAGTATTATTTTAAATCCTGAAACACTTTTTGAAGTAAGCAGGCATAGTACACAAAAAAAAAAAAAAGTTCAGTCTTCTGCAAGAAGACAAGACAGAATGAGTCTGCATTTGCCCATGCTGTTATTTTTATTGCCATAATGCTGCAACTAAGACTGCACTGGATGCAAAAAAGGGTAAACCAGGGAACCTGTAACGTGATTTTATGGGAGATTAAAAGAACCAAAGGATGTGGAAAAGGGGAAGAAATATGAAGAAACAGTAAAACTGTACTGGTCAGCAAGATATATATCTTTTTATTAAAAAAAGAAAACCCAAACATTGTCCAAGGAGAGTTACAGAATGGATGGTACTAAAACATTAAACCACACTCTTACAGGAGGACTTCTCAAACAAGGAGAAAAAAAAAGCACAAGTGGTTTGAAAAGGTTTTTTTGTTTTGTTAAAAAAGCACAAGCTACCTAGAGGCTCATATCTAAAAAACAAAATTTTTTTGTCCCTCTAGGGAATGGAAATAACAGAGAAAAGAAAAATATGAGCGATATGATCAAAGAATCAGAATAGGGAAGTGAGATGAAGACAAATGGAATCGCCATTTGTCAAGACAACAGAAAAGGTTGTTGCAACAGAGACACCAACCTCAGCTGTTAATCCTCAACTGTTAAGGAGGGGCTGTATTTTACACAGTAAACCACTGAAACTTAGCAACAGACTAGACACTAGAAAAATTTTAATGTCCAAGCAAAATAAGTAGGATGTATATACAGAGTTTCAAATGAAGAATTTTGAGATGAGAAGAGCAAGCATATCTTTTGCAGGAAGAAAAAACATCTATGAAATATCTACGTCCATCACCTAGAGACAGGCTATAAATACAAAAATTAGGTCATAGACCTAAGTGTCCTTTCAACATTTAAGGCTAAAACCTATGCTTTGAAATTTCTAAAATTTGACATTCGTGTTGTTTAGAAACAAGTTTTAACATCTAATGCCAGAAATGCACTGAGTGGTTTTGCTTATGTAAAAAAAAAAAATGTAAATTGAACTTACCATGCTGTTTAGATTTCTTCTTTTTTTTCTTCTTCTTTTTCTGTTTTGATTTATGATCTTTCTCCTTCTTCTCTTTTTTCTCCTTTTCCTTTTCTTTCTTTTTACCTGAAATAAAAATTAAACATTTTAAAACAGCATTACCGTTCCAAATTACTTGCTTCATTTGGCTAAACGTAAACATGACATTCAAGATCAAATATTCCAGTTGCCTAGTCAGATCAAAATGTTTCAGGTAATTTCCTTGATATCTTGGGCATGTCTCATTAATTGCTAGTAGAATGGTTCAAAGGAATCTTTCTCAACAAATAACGTCTTACCATTTTAAGTATTTCTAAATGAGGTATCATAGCACAAGAAAATATAGCAAAGTACACAAAATAAGTGACATTATTTAAATAGCATATAACATCTATTTTACTTACAGCTTATAACAAAAAGGTTTGGGCAAGAGAAAAAGCTTTCAAAAGTGCAAAATTCCAAACTAAAAAGATAACATCGTCTTAAAAACACACATTAGGCCTACAGAAAGTCATCTGAAGGAAATTTCAGTATCACAAAACTGCTGATGCTGTCAGCACTTTTACTACACAGTGACATCCTCATAGAAAACTGACTCTGACTAAAATTTATGATACATTTTTTAACACTGCGGTTCACTTCTAAGCACTGTTGGTATACGTATGAGGACAAGTACTTTGTCTCAGAAAAATTCTGTTTATCCTGTTAATTCTCCCCAGACAAAAATAAATCGCACAACATTATCACTCCATAATCATTTTCTAAGCAATCAGCAGTGAGATAAATAACAAGGAAATTGACTTGTCACAGAAAATAAATCCTTAAAGTCAGCATTTAAGGATTGTTTCCTGCACACAAATTGGAGTCTTATTATCTTCTTGGGGAATACAGAAACAGAACTTTTACCTCCTGGAAAAACAAGGCAGGATCACTTATGAATTCTTGTCCATCTCTAGTAGATTTTTTTTTTTTTTTAAACAC